TTATAAAACAGTGCGAGCAAGTAATTTAAAAATACATATGGCTCATCATACAGGCGAGAAACCTCATCAGTGTCCTCATTGTGATTATAAAACAGTGCGAGCAAGTAATTTAAAAATACATATGGCTCATCATACAGGCGATAAACCTCATCAGTGTCCTCATTGTGATTATAAAGCAGTACAAGCAGGCTCTTTAAAAACACATATTATGTCTCATCATACAGGCGAGAAACCTCATCAGTGCCCTCATTGTGATTATAAAACGGTGCGAGCAAGTAGTTTAAAAACACATATCATGGCTTATCATACTGGTGAGAAGCCTCATCAGTGTCCTCATTGCGATTATAAAACAGTGCGAGCAAGTAATTTAAAAATACATATGGCTCATCATACAGGCAAGAAACCTCATCAATGTCCTCATTGTGATTTTAAAGCAGTAGAAGCAAGTAGTTTAAAAAGACATATTATGTCTCATCATACAGGCGAGAAACCTCATCAGTGTCCTCTTTGTGAACATAAAACAGTACAAGCAGGCTGTTTAAAAAAACATATTATGTCTCATCATACAGGCGAGAAACCTCATCAGTGTCCTCATTGTGAATATAAAACAGTACAAGCAAGTAGTTTAAAAACACATATTGCTCATCATACAGGCGATAAACCTCATCAGTGTCCTCATTGTGATTATAAAGCAGTACAAGCATGCTCTTTAAAAAGACATATTATGGCTCATCATACAGACGAGAAACCTCATCAGTGTCCTCATTGTGAATATAAAACAGTACAAGCAAGTAGTTTAAAAACACATATTGCTCATCATACAGGCGAGAAGCCTCATCAGTGTCCTCATTGTGAATATAAAACAGTACAAGCATGCTCTTTAAAAAGACATATTATGGCTCATCATACAGACAAGAAACCTCATCAGTGTCCTCATTGTGAATATAAAACAGTACAAGCAAGTAGTTTAAAAATACATGTCATGGCATATCATAGTAATAACTCTACGTTATAATTAATTAATAACTCTACAATACTACCATTTCAGGATTTCAGGATCAATCTTGGATTGGCTATTTCTTAGTCCGGATCTCAATACAACTGAAAATATGTGGGGAATCATTGCTAGTGAATTCTACAACCTTCAGAAGTGAGAAATACAAAGAATTGATGAGCTCAAAGAAAGGATCACACATAGTTTGGAAAACTTGCCAGAGAGCACTTTTATTAATTTAGAATTACTTGTTTCCAAAAGACTTGGAGGTAATAAAAAAAAACATGGCAGTAGTTCTCATTACCGAAATGAATTTTGTCTTTTAAGTGATAGAAAAATTTTGAGTTCATACTTTTTCACAGATTTGTTTTGTTATTTGGTCCCAATTGTAGCTAATCCTGGCAATATGATTAAATTGTAACAAATCATTTTCAGTTCACATTTAATAATATCTTTTGTTACTCAGATTCCAAAATAAATGACTTAAACTAATTGAAATAGTTTTTTCTTTGAGTTTATATTTAGTCACATGACTGTTTGTACTAATGTGAACACATTTGGATGAATATTTTAACAGAAATAGGAAATAAACAATACAAAAAATTACTTGAGTCCTGATTATTTATCACCTATGATATGTAGTAGACTAACACTACCTATAATTAAAAATGATGAGTGCTTTAACTTATTAATGGTATGAGGCATTGACATGGAAAAGATTATTTTACAGGAGAATTAAAAAAAACCGGTTTGACACTTATTTTTTTAACTTTAAGCAAAATTTTTTGATTATTATTTAGTTGTAATTTTGCTTCAGTTTATTTTGAATTTTACGTAAATTTTCCATCCTCGCCCTTCCGTAGGCTGCGCCTATGATTGTTACTATAAAACAGTAAAAGCAGGTGGTTTAAAAAACCTTATTGTGGCTCATCATACAAGTGAGAAACCTAACCAGTGTCCTCATTGTTACTATTATGGCTTGCTTCTCAGACTGGTAGGAAACACCATCAATGTCCTAATTGTGTCTATAAAGGAGTAGTATGACATAATTGAAAAAAACATGTTGTGGCTCTTCATACAGGCGAGAAAACTTTTCAGTATCCTCATTATAGTATTGTAAAAGAACTCGTTCAAAAGGCTATGATGCTTTAGGCGAAAAGGCTCGAGCTTTGCCGATCCGGCCAAGGCTCCAGTCCTAATAGCTCTGTGGTTGAAGCTTCTAGTCGCGGCTCGAACCTTACTTGTTTTTGCCTATGTTTTTACTTTTAAATTGTTTTAAAATTGTAATAAAGCAAACTGTTCTACATGATGTTTGTTAGTAGTATTACATTTTTGGCAGTTAGTTGAAGTATAGTTTTAGCTGAAATAAAGTCTATTGTTTAGGTCGAATGATCTTTTCTGTACATCCCAGTCATATAATAGTATAAACATAGGTTTATTCTATAAAGACATTAATTACTTTTTTGATGGTGCTAAGAATTGGATTTTGGAACATTTTATCATTACATAGACTAGGAGCACTTCGTGCGCTCCTTGCAGAAGCGGACACATACAGAATCGACATAGCAGCTATCCAAGAGGTCCGATGGATAGGACAGGGAATTATGGAGAAGAAGTACCATACACTCTACTATAGCTGCCATGAAAAGCATCACATCTTCGGTACCGGATTTGTTGTGAGAGGCAGAGTTCGACAGCTAGTGATGCGATTTACTCCCATTAACCAAAGGTTATGCTACATTCGGCTTAGAGGAAAATTTTTTAATTTCTCTCTTATCAACTGCCATACCCCAACAGAGGTGTCACCTGAGGACTATAAGGAAGCATTCTATGAAGAACTTGGACGCGTGACAGAAAGCTGCCCCAAAAATGATTCTTAAAATCATTCTTGGTGAATTTAATGCCCAAGTTGGTAAGGAGGTGGCACTCATGCCGACCATAGGAACCCACAGCTTGCATGAGACCAGTAATGATAATGGGCTTCGGATGGTGAACTTTGCTACATTGCATGGACTGGTTGTTGGAACAACTCTTTTTCCTCGAAAGAATATCCATAAAGCAACATGACTCTCCCCGAATGGGCAAACAACATCGCAGATAGACCATGTACTCATTAGTTCCCGTCACAAGTTCAACATGATAAATGCAAGATCTTATAGAGGTGCAAATATGGACACGGATCACTATTTGGGCATTGCCGAGGTGAGATCACGAATTTCGCTGGTTAAAGACCACCACCAACGACCAAAGAAGAAGATTGATGTAGCTAAACTTAAGGACTCGGGCCACCAATATTCGCATCAACAAGCTGTGGAGACGAAACTTAATGAAGAAGTAATTAATGACAGCTCTATGGTCGATGAACTGTGGAAGAGATGCAGCAATGCAATCAAACAGGCAGCAGAAGAATCTCTTGGCTACGAGACTAAATCTAGAAGGCCCCCATGGTTTGATGCTGAGTGTCTTCTAGCAGTAAAAGTGAAAAATGAAGCCTACAGAAAGAAGGTTCAGCGTCCCACAAGGCTCTCCCAAGAAACATATCGAAGAAAAAGACGCGAAGAGAAGAGATTATTCCGCGGAAAGAGAAGAGCTTGGGAAAATAAGAACATGGAGGGCACAGAGGCATTGCGCGGCCAAAATGAAAGTCGGCTGTTCTTTCAGAGAATTCAGCAGCTTTCAGGCCCAGAGTGATGGCATGCAAAGACACGAACGGAACTCTTTTAAGCCACAAAGATGACGTACTAAGGAGATGGGTACAACACTTCAAAGACGCATTAAACAGAGGAACGGTGCCTGGAGAAGTAGGAGTAATGAAGGAAGACTCCTTGAATTATATTGAACCCCTGGATGAGGAGGAAATGGAAAACGCCCTGAGGAAATTGAAAAATGGAAAGGCGCCAGGCCCGAACGGAATCCAGTCAGAGCTGTTGAAATGTGGAGGTGAAGAACTCAAGAAAGCTCTGCATGATTTAATGCTGACCATCTGGGAGAGGGAAGCTACGCCTACGGAATGGGCAACAGCCATTATCTGCCCAATACATAAGAAAGGAGATCAAACAGAATGCGCTAACTATCGAGGAATCTCACTCCTTTCGTGTGCTTATAAGCTGCTCTCTAACATTCTTTTTGAGAGGATCCTCCCGTATTCTGAAAAGGAACATATCAAGAAATATCAGGCTGGATTTCGACGAGGACGCTCAACCACTGATCAACTGTTCTCTCTCAGGATGATCCTAGAAAAGAATATGGAGCGTAAGGTAGTCACCCACCATTTATTTCTGGACTTTAAAGCAGCATACGACAGCGTTGATAGAACACAACTATACTGTGCCTTGGAGGAGCTAAGCATCCCTCAGAAGCTCGTACACCTAATCAAGATGACCATGGACAGCTCGAGATGCAGAATACGCGTCGGTTCTGATGCCTCCGAAGAGTTTAAAGTGAGCAGTGGGGTTCGGCAAGGGGATGCTCTCGCCTGTCTATTGTTCAACTTGGCAGAGGAGAAAGCTGTAAGAGACTCCGGTATTCAGACCAGTGATATAATCTTCAATCGTCTGACACAGCTTCTTGGTTTTGCTGATGATATTGACATAATAGGTAGGTCTGAACGGGTTCTCAGAGAAGCGTTAATAGGCCTTGAAGCAGCTGCAAGACGACTTGGTCTAGAAGTCAACTAGAGGAAAACTAAGTATATGAGAGATGGTGGTGAGGTGGATCTGAACTTTCCATTTGAGGTAGGTTCTTTTAAGTTTGAGAGTGTAAAAAGTTTTAGTTACAGAGAAGGATCACGGCTGCCAATAGATGTGTCTTTGGACTTGGCCGACACTTAAGAAGTAGGTATCTATCAAACAAGACCAAGCTGATCATATACAAGACCCTTCTGCGGCCTGTTTTGACATATGGCTCAGAGGCTTGGACGATGACGAAAAACGATGAGATGAAGCTGAGTGTGTTTGAGCGAGGAGTCCTCAGAAGGATTTATGGTCCAGTAAAGGAGGGTGATATCTGGAGGAAAAAAAATAGGGAGCTCAGTTCTCTTTATACAGACATTGACGTCGTCACGTATATTAAATTGGCCAGACTAAGGTGGGCAGGGCATGTGGCTAGAACGAGCACCGCTGAAATACCCAAGAAAATAATGATGGAGGAGCTGCACCTCGCAAGACGGGTAGGAAGGCCGAGGACGAGATGGTTGGAAAACGTGGCCTATGATGCGAGAACCCTGCTTGGTTTACGGAACTGGAGAGCTGCAGCAGAAGACAGAAGGAGGCTGTTGGAGGAGGCCCAGTCTCGGTAAAGGGATGTCGCGCCACATATGATGATGATGATGATGGTGCTGAACTTTTAAGAACATTTTTGTGAATTTCGATTTTATTTATGGATAAAAAATACATTAAAATAACCCAAACTCTTTTAATTATATGTCATAATTGTAGGTATGCAATTTTCTGATTTTAAAAGAGAAAAAATTATCAAAATGCTTACTGATTTAAATTTAAGAAATTTCGCTTGACTATTTGCAATAAGTTGACGATATGTTTTATTATATGAATAAAACATGCTGTCAGGTGTGGTTTCTTTCGTTATAAACTGTGGATCTTCACGTTTTTATTGGTGTATTGCTATTAAACTAACTAAGATAAAAGAAGGCTCATCAACTTAGTGTTGTAAAAGATCTCGGTTAGATAAGGATGGAGCTCAAAAGGCTCCTGCTTTCTCAACTCAGCCTAGGCTCGAGTCCTAAGAACTCTGCGTTCGAGGTTCGAGTCGTGGTGCGAGCCTAATATTTTTTTTTTTTTATGCATTTATTCACATTATGTTTCGTAAATATATTCACATTGTTACTACCATCAGACAAAATAACATATTCACATTATATTTCAGAATTATACATTCACATTGTTCCTACCAAAAGATAAAAAAAATTCTTTACTAAAATTTACAAAGATACAATAGTTGTTTTTCTAAAGATAATTCACCAAAGCTCGAACCTTATGAGCCTTCAGCTAGAGCCATGAAGGTTCGAGGTCCAAAGGCTCTAGAGCCTTTAGGACTCGAGTTGAAGCTCGAGTCGGAGCTCGAGACTTGTTTTTACAACACTACCTCATTATGACCAGAAAGCAGTAGTATGACATAATTTAAAAAAAACATGCGCTAGATTACCATATATTACCGTCATCTCGTCTCTTCGACATATTTACTTTTTGTTAGGAAATTGGTGTTATCTTTTGATAAAATTGTGACTGTATGTTAACTAAACACCTGGACCATAATATACATTTATGCCACTGTGAGTACTGTTGTTATTTATTGTGTACAGTTGTGCGAAGTGAAGCTGGTGTACAGAGTACTGTCCTTATCTCGCAGCCATAAGTAACTAGCCCAACGTAGTCAGTTGGCCTGGAGCCTTCACTTGGGAAGGGAGGTCCTATAGCGACTCTGATGTAAAATCAAGGTCACGCAGCGTGTTTTAATTTTATTTCTTATTTCATTTTTTCTTTAATTTTTTTCCCTCACTTTCTTTTGACATGTTATTAGATTTAATCACCAACTCATGTCTTCTAAGGGTGCAACAACCAGGTCTCGCTCTGTCGGATCT